GGGAAGGAAACCATAGCCAGGAAGAGGCCCCAAGTCCCAGATGAGAACTTCAGTTAATGCCTTGATTTTAGCCCAGTGTAACCCTGAGCATCGAGCCATGTTGTGCTGGGCTTCTAACCTACAGAACTGAGATAATAAACTGTATCATTTTTGTTTGTTTGGAGAGAGAGAGAGAAACATCAATGTGAGAAAGAAACATCCATTGGTTACCGCCCGTACACATCCTGACCAGGGTTCAAACCTGCAACCCAGGTATGTACCCTGACCGGAAATCAATCCCACAGCCTTTCAGTACATGGGACAATGCTTCAACCAACTGAGCCACACTGGCCAGGGCACAAGTATCTATTTAAGCTGCTAAGTTTGTGGTCATTTGTTAAGCAATAGAAAATAAATATACCCAACTGTAGACTCGACAACCTCCATCTGCTTGCTTCTTAAATGTGTGATACTTTTAAAAAATTCTTAAATTTCTTAATAGTTAAAAAATAATAAGTATTCCTCTTTTCCAGCCCCTGCAGTAGGGGAGGCAAAGGAGAAGGGTTTGGGATGGCTGTTGGCTAGCCAAATGTCTGTGTCTGCCACACTGCCCATCACTTGGCTAATTCCACAGTTAATGGCCTTTAACTTACATGCACTGATTTCTGTATTAGTGAAGTCTCTTTTAGTTGTTAGTCACAGATTAGCTTTGGCAAAAAGGGGAATGCACTGGCTCTTCTACCCACAGAAAGGCAGAGATGGGTCAATTTCAGGACTGACCAGAATATCTCCCTGGAATTTTAGAGTAACAATAACAATAGCTAACATTTATTGACTGCTTACGAGGTGCCAGCTAAGTGCTTCCTATGTGTTATTTCATGTCATCTTCACAGTAAACTTTTAGGGCTCCCTGATAGCAACCCCATTTTGCAGATAAGGAAACTGAGTCCCAAAGAACCTAAGTGACGTCCCTCATGAGATGGAGCCCTTGGGTGGACAGTGCTCCCTAGTAGGCTAATTCTTCCTCTGAGAAGAGCTCCTCTGCATCTTTCTGCACAGGGAAGGGTGACAGAAGTCAAGAAAAAGAGGATAAAGAGGATGAAGAGGAGGAAGATAACAATAATGAAAAGAGACCCAAGACTGAAGAGCAGAAGGCAGAGGAAAAGGGAAAGGAGGAGGTGGTAGACAATTAAGAGAAGCAAGAGCAAGAGAACAAGGAGGATGAGACAGAGAGTCAGGAGTCAAGGCCAGCCTCTGAGACCCAATCTCCATCCTTTGCCTACTTCAGGGTACTCTCAGGCTCTGACCCAGACCTGGGTCCTCAGCTCCTTGAGGCAGCTGCCAAGGGTAAGAACTGGTCCCTGCCCACCATGTCTCCCTTCTGTCCTCCCCCAACCCTGTGGGCCCACAGGCTTCTCATAGCCCAGTCTGAGTTCAGCTCCCACTTTCATCCTGGGCACTAACTCTGTTGAAGAGCCCTGAGGGAACCCTGCTCAGTAGAAGGGAGCTCATTAGAGCCAAATTTTGCACATGAGGGGGGCCTACATGCTGGCTAGTGAGTCCTTGCTTCCCCCTCGCAGGCATGCCTGTGCTACTGACCAACGTGGAGCTGGGACTAAGGTGCCAAGAACTGCCATTTCTACTGCAGCGGGAGCAGCTGAGCCCACCCCAGGTGCAGCCTGGCTTCTGTCTCTATCTGAGTACCACCCAACCCCTTGGTGCCTTGAAAAAAGGTGAGGGCCAGTGGGTAAGTTGCAGCACAGCTTTGTGGATATAGTAGGCCCCCGGCTTCACTCAATCTGGCCCAAACAGGCTCAGGACTGTAGCAGGGAACCACACTCTCTGTGCACCCCATCCTCTGGCTCTGCCAAGGGGAAGGGTTAAGGGTCTCCCATATCACCCCAAGTGCTAGATTGTGAACTGCTGAAAGTGCTGAATGTGCTGGATCTGGGTCTGAACATGGACATCCTAGAAGAACAGATGCTGCATGAAATCCTGTGCACGGAGTGTCCCAAGTTCGAGAGCCGCTGGCAGAAACTCCAGATGAGATGCTTGAATACCCTTGAAGCTGTGGAGGCTACTGAGGTGCTCAGGGGACTGCTATATGGGTTGGGCTGAGCTTTGCAGGGGCCCAGGTATGGGGGTGGAGAAGAGTGGAGACCATAGGGGACTGTGTGGGAAAGGGTCGAATCCATGCCACAATGACTGTGTGCAGGAGCGGCTCCTGATGAGGCTGCTGTCCAAGAACCCAACTAAGCAGAAGCTAGCCAAGTTCCTGCGGGACATGGTAAGGAACCAGGCAGAACTATGCCAGCTGCATGCCTACCGTGAGGAGCTGGAAGACCTGAGGCTGCAGGAGATGGTACAGTGGGTACCCTATCAGCATGTGGCCCGGCATGGGATAGCCATCATCAGGGCCCTTAGCCCACTGCAAGACCTGCTGCCACCTTTCCGTATGAGCCCAGAGAACTGGCTGGCAGCCACCAAGCGGGCTCTGAACAGCATGAGGCAGTGTGAGAATCATCCAGGGAAGGATTTACCCAGCCATCTGCTACAGCTGAAGACACAGCTGACCCGCCAGCTGCTGGGCAGCACCGTGGCTGCACTGGGCCTGGCCCACATGCCCTTGGTAGGTGCCTTGGGTGCCTTGGCTCTGCTGTGCGAGGTCAGGAAGGCACCACATCTGGAGAGGCTGGCACTCTGGCCTGGACTGGAAGCCTCTCCCAGCACAGGCTCTAGCAAGCCAGTCCCAGGTGTGGCTCGACCAGCCTGGCTAGGGCAGAGAGCCTGGCACGAATGTGGAATGTTAGAGCTGCTGCCCCCATTTGCTGGGCTGCGTGTATCCCTGGCAGGCCACTCCAGTGTTTGGCAGTCTTACCTGTCCCTGTCATCCACAGTGCTGGGGCCTACACCTGGGTCTGGGCCCAATCTACTCAGCCTGCTCCAGAAGCTGATCCTGTGGCGCGTGCTGAGACCTGAGTGCCTCGCAGGCGCCCTGGCAGACTTCACCACCAGCCTCCTGGGCCGGCCCCTGGATGAGAACCTGAGTCCCTCCACCATACTCTTTGAACAAAGTCAGGCTACTCGGCCCCTGCTGGTCCTGTTGCCACCACCTGGTCACCCCACAGCCACCGTGCATCCCCTGGCTGTCATCCAGAAACTGGCTGCCCAGCATGAGCAGGTTTGAACCGACCTCTTGGCCACAAAGCAACCAGACTCCTATGGGCTAGGATAGGATGGGAGTGGGGCCTCCCAACAGTCTCATGGATCCTTCTGGATTACTCAGAGACTTTGGGGGTCACTGTGGCGTTACTCGGAGCCCCTTGGGGCACCCCAGTATCACCTTGAGTTACTCCGACATCTCTGTGGTTCTCAGGGGCAGAAGCATCTGGAGGTGATAGCCCTGGGCTCTGAGGCCTGGAACCCGGTCTCCGCTGTGGTCAGCACTCTAGGCCGGGCTATGTACAAAGGGCACTGGCTGGTGCTGGAGAACTGTCACCTGATGCCTCACTGGCCAAAAGAGCTGCTGCAACCCCTGCTGGGACTGCTGGATGGAACCCACGGTGGGTTTGCTGCTGAGAGATATTCTTAGGACCCTTTCCTACACTTGGGCCTAAGCTTGAACTTTCAGGTCTCATGACCAGCCCCTAGCTTCAAGCCTGTCCCCGTGTCTTACTCCTGAACTTTTAGCCTCAAGTCCGATCTCTAGACTTGTCCGGCCCTCTTTACCCAGTGATTAATTTCAGTCCCATGTCTGACCCTTAGTATTCTCAGACCTGGAGCTAGAACTGCTTTTAGCACCATCTGCAAGCAGGAGTATGGTCCACAAAGACTTCCGTCTTTGGCTTATTGTGTCTGCAGAGTCTATTGCTTCCTTACCAGGTGAGGAGCCCTGCCCCCAAACGCTCTCAGATGGAAGGGGAGAGGGCAATTGTGCTGTGCTGACTCAGCACTCTCCTTCCTCTCCAGCTGTGCTGACTCAGCACTGCATGCCTGTTTTCTGGGAGCAGTCCCTGGAGCTGGGCCATGTCTTGCTCGACAATGTGGAGCTAGCCCAGCAAGAACTCGATGTGCAACCCCTTGCCAGGAAGCTGCCTCTGCTCCTCTTACATGGCCTCCTGCTACACCGGCAGCTCTATGGAATGAAGCTGCAGGCACACAGGGGCCACTGGTGAGGACCCCAAACATTCTGCTCAGTCGGTCAGTCAGTCAGTCCTGAAGCAAACACAGAGTGTTTTCCCACAGACTGGATTCACCTCTAGGGAGCACCGAAGTGTGAGGGCGGGGGAAGCCAAGAAAAGCTTCTCCAAGGACTTGGGGAATCTCGCTTTGAACTGAGTCTTATAGGCAGAGGCAGAGTAAGTGGAGATGGGCTTTTCTGAGCAGAAGGAACGAAGCTCAGCAGGAGGGAGAAGACAACAGTGCGCCTTAGGTGGACATGCTGGGGCTGAGTGGGAGAGGTGAGGCTTGTGGTAAAGGGTCTTTAAGACCATGGCGAGGGGACTGATTTTATACTGAGGACAGCAGGAAACCACAAAAGGGTTTTAAGTAGGAGAAGAAATACAACCCTACTTGTCTGTTGGAACGATCACTCTGGCTTCATTGTAGGGGACGGGCCAGACAGGACTGCGCTGGAGGCAAGCAGAATAGCTTTAGGAGGCTCCGGAAATCTCAAGGAAAGGGATCATGGTGGTAGGACCAGGGTAGTCATAGCAGTGGTAGAGAGTATATATTGGGTGAGGAAGAGTAGTAGGCTCCCAGATTTCTGCCTTGAACAATTGGGGGGTGGGTGTGGAGGGAAATTTCTACTGAAAGCAAGTTGTATTTTAGGTGCCAAGTGGCAATGACTAGTGAGCCCGCATGAGTCAGGAGCTCAGGAGAGAGGAAAGATGTGAGAGTCCTCAGCATATAAATGGTTTTGAAACCCTACTTCCTGCTCCCCTCCCCCAGGAATCAAGTGACCCTGACCCAGGTCCTTCAGATGCAAGACCAGCTGTGGGCCAGCCTTAGCAATCCCCAAGCTGCCATGGAGGAGTTGGCTGGTGAGACCTTCCTGTCCCCCATGTAGTCATCTGCCCCCAGGACAGCTCTGGAAAGGGGTGGAGGTGGGAGTACTGAGGCTGCCACATCATTTTTTGCTTTGGTTTGGGAAGTGGTGGAAACTGGAGGGACCGGAACTGAGGACTCTACCCTCATCTTCAGCTTCGGTTTTCTATGGGGGTCCTCTGGGAGACAACAAGGACAGGGAGGCCCTGATTAGCCTCATACATGCCTGCCTGAGACCCAGCAGAGGGAGTTGGGACCAACCACACACACCCCAGTATCTGCTGGCCACTCTGATACCCAGCCCAGGTAAGCTCCATCAGGTATCTGTGCTGGGGTGGGGAAAAGCAGTGTAGTGCCATCCCCCTGGGAATGTGAACAGCATGACAACAACGGAGCAGGAGGGGGCGGTATTCACATAGTTGTGGGGAGGTGGCTGAACCTGTCAGGGGAAGGCCTATTCCCTTGGGTCTGGGGTGGGTCGAGTCCACCTTGTCTCTCACTCCTCACCTTTACCTCCAAGATCTAGAGGAGCTGGATGCTATGTCAGAATGCAAGGCCCAGATGCACCAACTGCCCACACCACCTGAACCCAGGACCTGTGGACTGAGTGCTGGACCCCAGTCCTGGCTGTTGCGACGCCAGAGTCGCGCTCTCCTGCGTGCTCTGCAACAGTGTTCGCTCACTTGGGTGCCCGCACCGGATGGCTCCAGACACACCGAAAGGCAAAGGCAAAGGCGGCTGCGGCAGCGCCTGGTTCTAGCCAAGCAGACACTGGAGTCGCTGCAGGCTCTGCTGACCCAGACCACTTGCCAAGACGAGTCTGGTACCTCTGGTGCCGGGTGGTTGGAGATGGGATATGATGCGGGGAGGGCTGTGGAGGGCTTCCTTCAGATGGAGGTATGGGAACTGAGCCAGCTGGTGAGCACACTGCAGGGGGACCTCAACTGCCTGTTACAACAGCTGGAAGGCGCACCCCCATGCGTCTCCCAACGCTGTGTAGCGGTGGCCCATGCTCTGTGGAGTGGCCGCCTACCCCTACCTTGGAGACGCCATGCGCCTGCCTGGCTGCAGCCGCCCTGGCATTGGCTGCGACAGCTGTCACGCCGTGGGCAGCTGCTGGTTCGCTACCTGGGCGCGGGCACTGCAGCACCAAAGCGCATCTTTCACCTATCAGCCTTTCGCCATCCGCACCGCCTGCTGCTGTCGCTGCGCTGGGAGGCTGCCTTTGCTACGGTCCCCATTGACCACCATGTGCCTAGCTTGAATGCGCCTGGTGGCCAAGGCCTCAGCTCTAGGCATCTTCATAAACATCAGGAGCTGAACAGCAACCCTTTGCACCTTCAGGTATCTTCCAGCAGACCCTTCACTTCCAATTCCGCCCCCTCAACCCTCCTGATTACACCTAGAAGCTACCTTACTTGGCCTCTTAGTGATCCTGTCCCCTCAGTGGCCCCATCTGCTTCTCTGCTCCCACTCTAGGAAGACCCCTTAGCTTCCTAGCCTTGCCCGACCAGCTTCTGGTATCCCCAGGTGGTGAGCAGCCCAAAGCCCACGGTTCCAGAGACAGGAGCGGTGCTGCTGATTGGGCTACAGCTCTGGAATGCCCAATGGGATCCGCTAGCAGGAGCCTTGAAGGATGGTCCCACCAGCCAGCCCAGTCCTCTGCCTCCAGTCAGCGTCAGCACCCAGGCCCGGGACACCAATGACCTGCCACCCACGGCCGGCCTGGCTGTATATTCCTGTCCTGTGTACATGGAAGGGCCGCTGGGCACTGCTAGGCTGCACAGCAAGAATATCCTGATGTACCTGCCCCTGCCCACAAAGCTCAGCCCTGCCATCTGTGTTCAAAGGAGAGTCCATGTGTGCAGCCCACCCTTGTCCTAAGCCCTCAACCAAAATAAAGTTGGAGTTATTCAGCGAAAGTTCTGAGATTTATAAGGAATGTCCGTGTGGACACACTGAGGGTGTGACACACTGAAGGCAAAGCAGTGTGCACAACAGAGGAGAGATGTGTTCACAAGAAGGTAGAAGAAAGAGGTTGTGTGCCTGGCAACAGAAAGGGTAGATGGGGACTATGAAGAAAGAAGAAAGGGGCCTGGATTGGTCATGCCTACGCAGATCTTGGGATGGCTAACACGCAGGATCCCGAGTCCTTCCCCAGCTCTCTACTGTGGTCTCAGCACTTGTGCTAAATCCACAAAGGGTATTTTTAAAGGGATAACATTAGAACTCAACATGATTTATTACGGCACTGAGTGGTATTATTGGGACAGACCTAATCCTGCCCTGCCATTCATCGCTTCCTCTGCAATGGATTCTCTGAGTGAGCCATACACCCAAAAAACAAGCAAAATAAGATACAAGGTCCTATATCTGTTCAACAATTATTTGTTGAGTGCCCCTTTGAACAGGTGCTCTTCCAGGCACTAATGACGTTGTTCTAATAGAGACAGACAATAACAGGCCAACATAGGCCGGCCCATGTGGCTCAGTGGTTGAACATCAACCCAGGCACTAAGAGGTCACCAGTTTGATTCCCGGTCAGGTTGTGTCCAGTAGGAGGCAGCTGATAGATGTTATTTTCTCATTAATGTTTCTCTCCCTCTCTCTAAAAATCAATAAAAACACTTTTAAAAAGGCCAACATATAAATAAGTTGAATTTGATGATTTTTAAGTGCTATAAGGATCTGAGTTCAGAGTCTTGTCATTTTTTTTTTTTTTTAAATATATTTTATTGGTTTTTTACAGAGAGGAAGGGAGAGAGATAGAGAGCTAGAAACTTCGATGAGAGAGAAACATCGACCAGCTGCCTCCTGCACATCTCCCACCGGGGATGTGCCCGCAGCCCAAGTACATGCCCTAGACCGGAATCGAACCCGGGACCTTTCAGTCCGCAGGCCGACGCTCTATCCACTGAGCCAAACCGGTCTTGGCGACGTTGTTCTAATAGAGACAGACAATAACAGGCCAACATAGGCCGGCCCATGTGGCTCAGTGGTTGAACATCAACCCAGGCACTAAGAGGTCACCAGTTTGATTCCCGGTCAGGTTGTGTCCAGTAGGAGGCAGCTGATAGATGTTATTTTCTCATTAATGTTTCTCTCCCTCTCTCTAAAAATCAATAAAAACACTTTTAAAAAGGCCAACATATAAATAAGTTGAATTTGATGATTTTTAAGTGCTATAAGGAAAATAAAGTAGGCTAATATGTTAGAGGGTGATTAGAGGGGAGCAGTTAATACAGTTTGGGTGGTATATTTAAAAGGAAGGATTGTTTCCAGTACAGTGCTGGGTTGGTATAAAGGTGTTTTTTTCTTTAAATGTCTTTTTAAAAATATATTTTTATTGATTTCAGAGAGGAAAGGAAAGGGGAAGAGAGAGAGAGAAACATCAATGATGAGAGAGAATCATTGATCGGCTGCCTCCTGCACACCCCACACTGGGGATCGAGCTCGCAATGTGGGCATGTGTCCTGACCAGCAATTTGAACTGCAACCTCCTGGTTCACAGGTTGAGGCTCAATCCCTGAGCCACACCGGCTGTGCAGGTACAAAGATCTTGAGGCAAAGCAAGCCTGGGGTGTTCGAGGACCAGAACATGTAGCTGGAGCATGGTCAGTGAGGGGCAGAGTGAGCCAAAAGGATGGAAAGGTATGGAGAGGGGGGATCACACAGAGCTTTTTCATGGCAATATACTTGTATTTTCTAAAAGCATAAGGAGAAATCTATCGGAGAGTATTAGGTGGGAGATGACATGATCTAATCCGAATTTTTCAAAGATGACCCTGGCTGTTCTATGGTGGGAGAAAATCCAGGTAACAAGGAGGATTTGTTTGAAGGCTCTCGAAGTAATTCAAGTGAGAGATGATGAATTCTGGTCAAGGGTCATAACAGTGGAGACGAAGAATGAATGTATTTAGGAAATATTCTGGAGGCAAAGCCAGCAGGACTTGCTGACGGGTTAGATGTGAAGAGCGAGGGAAGAGGACAAATCTGGGATGAGTCCTAGATTTTAGGTGTGAGCAACTGGGTGGATTGTGATGTTATTAACTGAGATGGGCAATCTGAGGGAGAAACAGGTTAGGAGTTAGGAATTGAGTTCTACTTTAATACGTTTAGTTATTAATAGTTGTGTGATTACATACTATCCCAGGGCAAACTTCTCAGGTAAAAATTGGGTTAAAGTATGGCAAAGCTAAAGGCCTACATGGGTGTCCTCACCTTGCCCCTAGCACCAAAATTTACCAGGTACAACTCATCTCCCTCTGGCTAGGATAAGCTACATGGTAGGAGGAAATGCAAATCAAGTATGTAATGAGTGTCAGTGCACAACCTCTTCACAGTCACCCACTCACTAGTGATTGTGGTGCAACTGATGCCTTTGAACAAGAGACGAAACAGAGAGCAAAAGCCTCCACTTTCCTCAGAAACCATTTCTTTTTCTTTCCTGTGGTCAACCAGAGGCATGCCTGTTCCTCCAGGAAAGGAGATTAGCAGAATATTGAAGAAGTCCTTTTGGATAAATGAATTCTACCCACGTTTACCATCACTACTATTTACCCTCCAGTGGGAGCAAAGAGTGATGAGGTACCTGTAAAACTATCTGAAATTGGTTGGTACAGAATATTTTCTACAAATCCACACCATTCTCTGAACTTCATTCTTGAACTATGCCCAACCCGAGTCAATTAGAGGTTATTAGTATAGTCCAAATACAATGACTACTGCGTAAACATGTTCCAGATTTGACAATTTTGGTCTGCCAGATAAATTAAAATCCCATTAAGAAATTCAAGTCCCAAACAATGGAAGGAAGTAGGAAGTGAGACACAGAACAAAGGGGAGAAATATGTGCGTCCTGTCCCAGTGGATAGGGGTAGATGGAGTAGAGGCAAGAGGAGTGGGACAAAATCAACATGACCAAGGACCTTGGGACAGAGTAGTAAAATGACATACTAGGACTAAAGAGGCTTTTGTCCTTTTGCCTCCTGGGGCTTTAGAAGGGAACTGCTTTGCAGCCCAGACTTAGCGAGGCCCCAGGAGCATTACGAGGGCAGAGCAGCATAGTCAGGAAGAGGTGTCTCTTGATTCCTATGTGGTGCGGATGCTGAGTAGAGATCCTTTAAGGCTCAATGGGGTATGAGGCAGAAAATCACTGTGTTGGAACAGTGTTGTTGCAAGGAGGCCAAATTAGCAAGGGGGATGGGGGTGGGGAGCGGGCCCTGACAGCTGAAAAAGACAAGACGGATTCATCAGCCTTAGAAGCAAATGTTGGCAGAATGCCCAGGTATGATACTGGGCCAACTGTATCCAGAAGATTCCAGCTTGTGCGCACCCAAGAATCAATATTAGGCCAGGGAACCCCTTCCTTCTGATATCGAAATGCCCTTCCCTTTACACCCAGATGACTCTTGCAGAGAAGCAGAGGTAGAATGGAGGAATTTGAGTTTTTGAATATTTATTTCAAAAAGGATAGATGAAACCTAGAGACTGGATTAAATTTATTTCTAGCTTTTCCACTCTTTGATGGAGTGCAGGATGGAAGTGAGACTTGTGAAGAAAATCAGTAATTGAGAAAGGAGCTGAATTTTATTTGCATATCTAAATTGATGAGGAAATTTGTGCCCGACTCTGTACACTATATGCACTAATAATTCAAAGACCAAAAATGTCATTGATTAGCACACTGTGGCTCACCTGAAACTAATTTATTTCTGCAGCTTCCTCTTAACAAGGTCTTTTATAGAGCAAAGGTTTTTCATTTCGATGCAGTCCAATTTATTTGTTTTCTTTTATAGATCACTAGAGGCCTGGTGCATGAATTTGTGTACAGGTAGGGTCTGGCCGGCCTGCCCTGATCAGGACCTATCGAGCAGGACTGGCCAGGGGGAGGGGAAGCAGGAGGTTGGCCATCTGGCCCTGCTCCCAATCACCACCACCCCGCATCCCAATCAGGGGTGGGGTCAGCTTAGGGGAGGGGCTGTGGGTGGCTGGCTGGCCCTGCTCCCCTTGTTGAACACCTGGTTGAGGGGACATATTAGGCTTTTATTATATAGATCATGCTTCTGATGTCAAGTTTAAAGCTTGTTGCCTAACCATAGATCTCCTGTTTTTTTCTTTTTTAATTTCAGAGAGGAAGGGAGAGGGAGAGAGATAGAAATATCAATGATGAGATATAATCATTGATCAGCTGCCTCCTGCATGCCCCCTACTGGGGATTGAGCCCGCAACCCAGGCATGTGCCCTGACAGGGAATGGAACTTGACCTTTGTCTCAGCCATGTTATAGGGCAGGGGTCCTCAAACTTTTTAAACAGGGGGCCAGTTCACTGTCCCTCAGACCGTTGGAGGGCCGGACTATAGTTTAAAAAAAAACTATGAACAAATTCCTATGCACACTGCACATATCTTATTTTGAAGTAAAAAAACAAAACGGGAAAAAATACAATATTTGTATTTGCATGTGGCCTGCAGGCCATAGTTTGAGGACCCCTGTTATAGGGAATAATGGAACATACTTACACCAGAGTATTAATGTAGAACTGCGGTTCTCAACCTGTGGGTCGCGACCCCCTTGGGGTCAAAGGACCTTTTCACAGGGGTCGCCTAAGACCATCAGAAAACACTTAATTACATATTGTTTTTGTGAGTAATCACTATGCTTTAATTATTTTCAATTTGTAACAATGGAATTGGCGGGTCACCACAACATGAGGAAGTGTATTAATGGGTCGCGGGATTAGGAAGGTTGAGAACCACTGATGTAGAAGGAGCCTTGAAGGCCAAAAAGACTGAGGCAATCAGTGAGATTCCCAAGAGGTGTATTAGTAAATAGTAAGCTGGGTGTCCCCACTTAATCAAAAACATACCATCTTGCGAATATGAGAAGTGAAGGCCTAGAGAATGACAGAGACCTAATCGCTAACATCCTGAAGTTCCAGAACCAATTGCCCACAGACACTAACCTTCAGGTTCCTACTGACATAGGAAGGAAATTCTAGTGTAAGACATTCTTTAGTAGCATTTTTTTTTCTTGTTACAATCAAAATGTAACTGGTAAAATAAGCATCTCAACTTCCTGATGTGAACACTCCCCTGTCCCGCGCCCCCCCCCCCATTAAGATTAAAATTAATGGCACAGGTGGAAAGTACTGACCAGTATTTGCTAAAGTAATTACATGTTTGAAGCACCCAAAGGAAACAAAAGTGTTCTGTGATCAAGAGAAAGGTGGATAGAATGACCAGAGAAGATCTATTAGCCAGTGCTAACTGCCCTAAATATCCCAAAATTCACTAATTTATTGGAGTAGAGGTTTACTCTTTGTTCAAAGTTCAATGTGGATGTTCTTAGTCAAGCAGCTTTCCTCCCAAAGAGTGACTCAGGTATCCCAACCTCTTCTATGCTGCTACTCAATCACCTTCAAACATGTGCTACAAGGTCACCCTGGAAGGTGGAGTAGGGGGTGGTACAATACAGAGAAGGCTCATCTGCTCTTTAACTGCCTTGATCTGGTAGTGAAACATCTCTACTTCCC